TATGAATTGATTAAAATATTTTGTGCTTTTTATTTCTCTACAGACCATGAGATGACCATTGCCTACTGGAATCTTATTTTTACTGGTCGCTTCAAATTTTTGGACTTGTGGTGTGAATTTTTAAAAGTAAACAATACTTGTAATTACATGTAAAGGTCACATTTCATCTCTCTCTCTACCTTTCTCAGTCTCATTATAAAAGAGCTGGCAATACCCAAAGACACTTGGAACCTTCTGCTAGAGTTTTTAAATACGATTGATGACACCATGAGCAATTATGATGAAGATCGTAGGTCTATACTGTATAAATTGTAATGTCCTCCTCTTTAAATAATTTGTATTTTGTACAGCACTTTAACTTTATTTCTTTGTAAATTTTTTGATGATTTTATGCATATACATGTACAGCACTTTACTATGAACATGTACATGTACATTAATGATTGTATGGTTGGTTTATTATTCATAGGTCAGTATATACTCTAACTATGTACATGTACAAATTCCTCGGTTCTTCTTTGTGTCTGATGCAGCACTACTGGAGATACTGGGAAATATATTGGGTATCTGAAAAATACCCAAGGCTATAGCCCATGGTTTTTTTTTTAAATGGCTCTGAAATCAGCCCAGATTTTTATTACATTATCTGATACATATTGATGTTTTTATGCTGTTTGGAAAGTTTGAGGTGATTCTGACTTCAATTTTTCAAGTTACGGCCATTTTAAGAAAACACCAAAATTTTGAAAAATACCCAAAGCTATAGGCCATGGTTTTTTCCACAAAATGGCTCCGAAATCACTCCAAATTTTTATTACATTATCTGATACATATTGATGTCCTTATGCTGTGTAGAAAGTGTGAGATGATTCCCACTTCAATTTTTCAAGTTACGGCCATTTTAAGAAAATGCCAAAAATCTGAAAAATACCCAAGGCTATAGTCCATTGTTTCTTCCATAAAGTGGCAGAAAAAGAACTCCAAATTTTTATTACTTTTACTGGTACACATTGGTGTCCTTATGCTGTGTAGAAAGTTTGAGCTGATTCGGACTTCAATTTTTCAAGTTACGACCATTTTAAGAAAACGCTGAAATTCTGAAAAATACCCAAGGCTATAGCTCATTGTTTTTCCCAAAAAATGGCCAAAAAATCACCCCAAATTTTATAAAATATTCTGGTACATATTGATGTCCTTATGCTGAGTAGAAAGTTTTAGGTGATTCTGACTTCAATTTTTCAAGCTACAGTCATTTTAAGAAAACGCCAAAAAATTCTCAAAAATACCTAAGGCTATAGCTCATCTTTTTTTCCAAAAAATAGCTGAAAAATCACCCCAAATTTTTATTACAATATCTGATACATATTGATGTCCTTATGCTGTGTAGTAAGTTTGAGGTGATTTCGACTTCAATTTTTTAAGTTACAGCTGTTTTAAGAAAACTCCAAAATTCTCAAATTACCCAAGGCTATATATAGCCCATGGTTTTTTCCAAAAAATGGCCAAAAAATCACCCCAAATTCTTATTATATTTTCTAATGCATATTGATGTCCTTATGCTGTGTAGAAAGTTTGAGGTGATTCCGACTTAATTTTTCAAGTTACGGCCATTTTAAGAAAACGCCAAAATTCTGAAAAATACCCAAGGCTATAGTCCATCTGCAATACGCTGTCTACGAGGATCTCGGTCAAAGGCTCGTTTTGTGAACTCAATTGATTTTTCAAGGGCCATTGCTGATGCCCGCTTTAACTTTTAATTTATTATTATTATAACTTTGTCAACAATTATTTCCTATTCAATCTTGTTTCCTTTTTGTTCATTTTTTCTCCTCTGTTATTTATGATAAAAAAATTTTAAGGGCTCAGTTCCCTTTTTAACAGACGATAGCCCATGTTTTTTTTCCAAAAATGGGCAAATAATCACTCCAATTTTTTTTACCTTTACTGGTACACATTGATGTCCTTATGCTGTGTAGAAAGTTTGAGCTGATTCGGACTTCAATTGTTCAAGTTACGACCATTTTAAGAAAACGCCAAAATTCTGAACTATAGTCCATGGTTTTTTCCAAAAAATGGCTCTAAAATCACTACAAAGTTTTATCACATTATCTGATGCATATTTATCTCCTTATGCTGTGTAGAAAGTTGGAGGTGATTCCTACTTCGATTTTTCAAGTTACAGCCATTTCAAAAAATTCCAAAAAATATCCAAAGCTATACACGTAGCTGTATTGGCTGTCTCAACTCCACCCCTCTGCCGTTATCAGCCATACAGCACTCTTTACTGTTTTGTAACTATTATGTATATCATCAATATTGAAAGTTGTATTTTAAAGTTTGCATTAGGCCCCCCAAGCCCCAAGAGTTCACTATAAACCTGAGACTGGGGGCCCCTTAATTGGGTGCCTAGTGCTAATTCCCCCTTGCCCCCTCCTATTGGTATAGTCATGCATGATGTACATGTGACTAGTAACGTGTTATCTTGTAATATTTTAATGTAGAAATGTTCAGCTAATGGTACAGGATGTGGTGTTTGTCATTCAAGGGATCTGTTGTTCAGGTTTAGTGAAGATGTGGTTACATGTCCTAACTGCTCCTCACACTTTCACTGGTAAATACATGTACATGTACATAATGGACATTTGATGTGTCTAAATTTTGTGCTGCATAAATCAGTTTTTAAATACATGTATACTATATCCCACCTGAGTTTGACACCAGCCGCTTGGAATTTGAAAAATGTAGTTTACATCACTGATGACATCTTATAATGATATTCATAGAAGCATGGCTGACATTTTATAGCTGTGTGGTTGGCCTGTGTTTCACTCTTTAATGGGTTTTGTTTGTTCTGATAAGCAGTACATTACATGTAGCTGCTGGAGTCAACTAGTCTTCATAAAGACCATCATTATCAAAAGATTTAGCTCTGTTAGCTTTTAAAAAGAAGAATTATCAGTTTGGGTGCTCGACCACATGTTCTTATGTAAACTATGACGTAAAAAAAGCCATTGGGTTTATAGGGAAAACCCGGTTCTCAGGGTTCCCAAGGGCTGAGAGACCCAAGACCTGAGATCCTGTGATGGCATTGGGCGACTAAGAACCTTTGAAAGTTTCATCCTTATCCCACATTTCTATAAAAAGTTATTCCAGTTTTTCTTGGGTCAAACTCAGTTGGGATATACTACCTAATTAAAATTATCCAAACTTGCGTACTTTTGGTAATTTGAAGTTGTGGCATTTGTTGAACTGCTAAATTTTGGTGTGTTTTAATTTGTGTCCATGTCCCATTGAGCATGTACATGTGTACATAATGGTTCATAATGGTGGG